TTTCGCCCGCGATAACTGCATTTGGCGCTGGACACCTCGCAATAAAAAGGTTATTGGGCTGTTTAAGGACCGAGATGCGGAAATGTCCCCTGCTCGGCTTACGTAGGTTTACGCTCCAAAATGGGGTATACTCCATTGAAACCCGATATCGGGGCGTGTTCTTCGCGGCGAAGGAGTACAACGATGGTCGTTCAAACGTTATAATTTCAAAATTATTTATGACTTGTTATTGTCGAAACGAAAATAGAATCGACAAACAATGTACTATTCGATCCAAATCTCTGTCAATTATTCGTTTGTTCAAGAAGCACGCGTTCGTTGTCCGTATCCGACGACAAACGTATTGGATGCGATAAATTTAAGTCTGGCCATTGGAATTCATTTCCGCTCCTGTGGACGCGTTCGTCCGTTTCTTCTTCTTTTTCTTTCTTCTTCTTCTTCTTCTTCAGCGTGCACGCTCGTCCCTGCAGGCGGGTTCATGTAGATTAGAAATTAATATTTAAACTTTTTATTTATTTATGAATAGACACTTTTAGTAGTAGGGAGTTTTATGATGAGTCACTTTCAAATAGTAGTAGGGGGAGGCGTTGCATCACTTCAAGACGGGCGGGTGAGATCTCACACGTCATTGTCCTTCGCCTTTCACATGGAACGAGCTCGCTTAGCGAAGAAGCGGTATGATGCGTGGAAGAGCGGATGATGGTGAACTGTGCCAGCCTCCGCGACGCGCCGCGATCTCGCCATCATCGCCCACATAGAAGTCTTAGCTGCCCTACTACGCTGAAGCATCGTCAGATCGCCGCGTCGCCGTTGATGTGGCGTGTCTGCCCGACGCTGTGCGGGAAGAAATAGAACCATCAGATGACGGACACGAAGAAAAGGAAAAAACTCTTCAGATCTGCGATTGCAGTCACGAGAAGTGCTATGGATCATGATGGTTCTCGCGAAGTGACTCCTGTCTGTGCGTGAGTACCAAACTGACGGTTTATGCGTGCGCTATTGCATCATCCAGAAAGCTTTGAACGCTCCCTGCGTCCTACAGCATGGAGGAGCCACCTCCCTTTATCATAGACACTGATAAGCAATCACCATCATCCTACATCTCATACGAGGCGAAAGGAGTCGGTAAAAGGAGACCTACTGAACCGGAAACTTTAATTCTCACGGTGCACGCTGAAGTGTTAGCACTCCTCGAAGCTCTCGCCACCTCCTTCAAAACCCGTACGGTGAAGCACTGCGACAACGCGTCTCTGCGTTCGTCAAACATTCAGTTCTCTTCGGCCGCCGTTTCGAAAACACGCCTCCAGCGTACTCTCCAGCCCGTAGTGATAGTGACCGTGACTAAGTTTTGTTTCATCTCAGCTGAGGCATGGCCCATCTACGTCAGCGCAATCTTGAGTTGGAACTTGTCTTACAAACGTTTCATCAACGACGGTTTGTTCTCTCTCGGACTCGACGATCGATCTCTGCAGATTCTCCTATCGACTTGCTATTACATTGGGCCGCGAAGACGTGCCTTCTGTCTTCCACCGCCTGTCGAAAACGTGCAGCGTACCGAGACTTCGTTTGACTCCTGCCTTGTCTTCGTCACAAACAACCGTTGCCGAAGTGGAAGTGTTTGCGGTGTCGGTGAGAAGAAGTGCTGCCTTCTTTTCGAACACGCGCACGATCGCTACCGTCGCCGAAGTGGAAAGTGCATCGAGTGTAGAAGAGAGGACTTTTTACAACAAAAACACCTTCACGCTATTCGTGATGGTCGCGGCTACGCGCGTCGAGAAATACTTTTAAGATGCTCCGGCGTACGGGTTTTCACCCCCTTCCACCTGGCCCGTCAACCGCCAACACCGCCGGTGGTGCTACGCTGCTTGCAAGAATGTGGTGGTGTGGCGCAAACTTTGTTGACGTGCGTGATCCAGAAGGACTGAGCCGCTGGAACACGCGGGTACACTTCGAGGCAAATTTCCATCGGTAGACTGCTCCTCGACACGGTGCTGACGGCAATAGAGACCTCAACGGTTTACTGAGGCGAACACGTTGTCAATCGCGGAAATCTTCAGAGACTTACCGCTCAAAAAGTGGAGTGCACTATCAGGAAAAGGAGATTGAACGACATCTGAAAGAGAGCGGAACATAATTCGGAAAGAAACGTATGGAAATGGAGGATTCTATGTAAATTTTTGATTTTCATTTGATTTCCATAAACTAAAAAGCATTCTTTTCATGTACTGTTTTTCATTTGTTTTTTCCTGACACTGCATTGTAGGGATTTTCCTTTTTTTCCCATTATGAAAGTCTTTTCAGCGGGGGAGCGAGCGTCAGCGCTCTCGGCTCGAAAGAGAGAGACGCGCGGCTGGCGCGCGCTATGCTATATAAAGTGCATTCAAAATGCTCGCGCCGCCGCCTCCTCCCGACGTCGCTCATAGAGCAAGCCACCGCCACCTCCTCTCGTCCTCTCGTTCCCCGAATCGTCTCACAGAGAGCGCGCGCGTATTATCTCTATGCTCACGAGACGCTAATGAGTGCGGTCGCGATAAAAGCAGCCAGCGCGCGGCGCCCGCCGCTATCTTATCAACAACATCCGGCATCGCCGCCGCCGCCGTTGCCGTCGGGCCCTGCTCCGCGTAATATCAGGACTCTAACCAGACAGCTTCGCTCGAGATGTCGAGAGCCAAAGCGCTGGCAACCGCCCCTCTCTGCTTGAAGCACACAGGAAACGGGACTGCGGCTGGTTCGAATCACCCCTCGGGCGGCAGGCAATTTTTGAAACACACTCACACACGCACGTGAGCACTTCGCCGCCAGAGGCGCGCGCGCACACACACATAAACGCTTCCACAATTCGCGGCAGAGCGGCAGGCGCAATGCGCCGCATCTCCACGTCACCCGCCTACGCCGTCAGCTCCTATGACGTCATGGGCCGCTCAGGGTCATGCGGGTCTGGGAACAGGAAGTTGATAAGATAAGAGTAACCCGCATGGTCCTCAGCCGCCCATGTGTCCGGCCCGTGGGCCGGTCACGTGGAGATGCTCTTCTGGGCTGGTCTCGGAACAGGAAGTTGATAAGATAAGCTTATCTTATCAACTTCCTGTTCCCAGACCCGCACATTCCCCCTCCATGAGCATTTAGGTTATTAGCGACCACTATTGCATTTAATGGTATGTTACTGTGATGATACGGTGATGGGGGCGAAATTACGAACAATAATACTCTGGCGGGACTCGAACCCGCGGTCCGTCTGTCCTAGATCGCTATGGCACTACTGCCTTAACGATCTCGTCCACCCCACTTTGTCTCATTGCTCCATTTTGTCTGATAGCCCTAATTGTCTAATTTGTCCCGCTTTCCCTTTTTTGTCCCCTTGCCCTCTTAATTTTTCTGTTTTAGCCCTTTTGATCCTTCCACGCAGTTATTTGTTATTTAGAAACGGTTTTGCAAAATGCAAAGAGAATGTAATTCTGCCCGAGGATTCCGAAAATTCTAGGAATGTGATTGGTCGATTCCAGTTCGGAATCCACGGGTGTGTAATCGATGGCATTCTTGATTAAATATACATCAGGAATACGCATATCATGGTTGTAGAGAAAATAACTTTAATACGTTGTGTGGTCAGAATTCACATTTTGGGGTCCTTGGCACCAACCATTGGTTTACAGCAAAACGTCTATCCGTCCCCGATTAAACCGTGGAGAAGATTTTCACAAAATCTGATATTCGTCCCAATCGATCTACCTGATGTCACAGCCCTACGAATTTCAAAAGGATATTTCAATATTTAAGCATGAAAACTCATTTACATGTCCAAAATTCTCAAAAATTGCTCATAATGCGGTTATTTTTTCTCCAACAGAGCAGAGTACGCGCAGGTCTGATTTCGTTGAACTCTACATTTTTCAAATTTTCAAGTTCCAAGTGTCGTCCACCAACTGTAATATTGAAGGTATAATTTTTACTTTCCCGTATACATGGAGTAATATTAGTAGTATAGGAAGAGTTATGTAATGCTGCAGAAAATCGATTTCGAGATTTCAAAGAAAGACGCATTTTGGGGTCCCCTAAAACCAGAAAAGTGATTTTTTTTTCTTTTCAAAACGACTGCCTACCTGAATGTGTTTTTCTTTAAATTTCTTGTAAAAGTAGAGTAGAGTAGACTTACAAAGGTGGCATAGATCCGTTTTTCAGAGTTAACTCAATATTTTCGAAAATTTCAAAGGTTACAATTTTTTGGGCATCATCCTACAACTACAAAATTGAAGATATTTTTTCTTCAAATAACATTTGTTCTCCATAGTCAGTTCTTTCATTAACATCATTTATATGATATGTTTTTGAACATTTTAATAGTTTCGCTTAATGTATGCAATTTTAAAAAATAAAAGATTTTTTCAAAAACTGCTCAAAATTTTTTCTTCAAACAGTACTAATTGCTCTCCTTACTATGACATACTTCATTTCAATTTTTTTGTTTTCTTAAAAGTTACTCATATGTAATTGTTTTGAAAGATCTCACACAGTTATTATGTACATTTTCAGCAATTTGTTAACACTATTGTACTTGTGAGTTAAAAGTTTTCAAATGACTTGTAATAAAGATTTTCAACAACTCAACATTTTTTTGAGAAAAAAGAGCTTCAAATTTTGAATTTACAGTAGCACCTAATTGCAATTTTCTCAAAAACAGTTCCAAAGTTTTCAAAGAAAATTTCCATTTATGACGAGGATTTCCCGTTCTTTAATATTCTTAAAATAATATTTTGGTCCTCCTACTAGGAATGGGAAAAATTTAAAAAGTTCAAAAACCTGTACTTTGGGCAGGGATATAAGGCAGCTGGCAAGAGTATGTGGCAAGTCCGAATAGCTAGCCGAGACCAAAGGAAATAGAAAAGTAATATGGGAAAGTCTGTGCCATTCTGTAGCACCAGTAGTTGCTTCACGAAATCTGTTCTTCAAAATTATCCTTTAAATGAGGTCGTATACATTTTTTCTCTCCAAAATATGGGTGGTGTCCTGCATTTTTTCATGAAATAAAGGCAAATAATTTCTCAAAAATGAACAGAAATTTTTTCTTTATTTCTTTTCTCAGATACTGCTAAGTAGGATTACAAAAATGGAGCAGGTCAGACTTTCATTGAACTCTCTGGATTTTCGAAAATTGCAAAAGAAACAAATAATACAAGAAAGTACGTGCTTGTTGCAGCACCACTAGTTTTACAATCAACTTTGAATGTCACAAGACTCAAAGAAATTAAGTTGCCATGAATCAGCAACAGATATTATATTTTCACATTTTTAACAGGTCAAGAAATATGTTATTTACAGGCATCACTTATTAACTTAAATTAATGAAAATCGTTAAATCAATATTTTTAAAATCCATCTTCAAAACATGAACAACCATAGAATAAGAAGTAAAATTGATGTCTACGAATTGTATATAAAGCAATATGAATATTAACAATGTTCAATAAACAATATAACATAACATTTATTTTTTGCTATTATTAAATGTACTGTATGGCAGACTAAGAGAATCTATGAAGTCCCATACATCTGTTTTCATCCAGTCTTTTAATGGATTCACCCACTGAATTGTGGGGTGATTCTTCTCTGCATATGTTAACAATTGCAACAAGTCTAGGGAAAGAGAAATATGTTAGTGGTACAATAGTGACATGTTCACAATGTTACAATATTATTTTCCAATACGTACCAGAATTCTCATCTGCAACACAGCCTACAAATACGACTTTGAAATGTTCATGAACATCAATAAATGCATTTAGAGTGTTGGAAAGAGGACCAGAAAACCTCTCTAGCTTCATATTGTATCTACAAACAAAATAAGAGCACTTAGAGTTTACAAAACAAAAGTACACAAGTAGAACATCCATTCATACACAAATGACAGCACTCCATATGTCTTGTAAGTTTTTCCTTTCTCCCTACAGAGAAGAGAGAAAGTTATGTAATGCAGCACGAAACATCGGCGAATTTAAGGCAGAAAAACTCATGTTACAGGGCCCTAGTAATAAAAAAGTGGATAAATACAGTTTCTAAATTTAGAGGAAAAAAATCTAACAAGTGGTATAGCTAGAATCCATGTTTTGTGGGACCTTGATACTGAAAAATCGTATGACGGCAAAACGTCTATCTGTCTGTCCATCTGTGAACTATGTTAGTGCAGCCGATTATCTCCAAAGTTAATATTCCTCAATCAATATGGTGTTGCAGCCCCTTCAATTTGAAACTGATATTTAAATTTAGGAGGTACATTACATGAAGCCGCTAGGTCATTTTCAAAATTTTAAAAAAAATGCTCCATTGTTTTTTATGAAATTTCTTTTGGATAGTATGAAGGACGTTAGGATAATGGTGCAGGTGTCATGTTCATTGAAAAGCCGGATTTTTCAAAAACTGCAAAAGTTCCAAATATTTTTGGACTCTTCCTACAACTAAAATATTAATATGTAGATTTTTTCCCTTAATAAAATCTGCTCCTTAAAGATAGATTTTGAAATAAGGTCTCTAACATTGTGTAGTCAGAATCCACATCTGGTGGGTCCTTGACACCAAACACACAATTGATGGCAAAAGTCTGTTCGTCTGGAAACAACAGTGGTGGCAAAACTATAAGTAGGATTTTTCAATAACATTAATACTTCTCGATCAATCTCACTTATATCACGGCCGCTTGAATTTCAAATATTTTGATTTTGGGGCGTTCCATACAATAAAGGCTCAACATTTTAAAAATGTTCTAAAAAAAGGCTCAAAATTTGTTTTTTATGTTTTTCTCTTCTAGAGCAAACGACACATAAAGAAATGGAGTCTGCCACATTTTTGTTGCACTTTCTATATTTTCAAAAATTGCAAAATTTTTTTCAGCGTCTTCCAACAGCTTCAATAATGAAGATAGAATTGTTTCCTTAATGAAATTTCCTTCTGAAAAAAAGACTCGAAAAGAAAAGAAAAGAAAAGAAAAGAAAGAAATTATTATAATTTTTTCTTCATATGTAAGATAGAATGATAAAGGAAAAGGTGCCGGTCGCATTTTCGTCGAACTCTCTGAAAATCCAAAAATTGCTAATAACAAAAAACTGAAATTAAAAAGTACAATATTAATGAGAGATTTTTTTGTTAACTGAAACCTGTTTTAAAAAATAAATTCTTTAAAAAAGATTTCAATAACTTTTTTTAAAAATGTGTACCTTGACAAAATTGCAAATTCGGATTTTGTGTACTTCTTTTAGTACAATATCACAAGAGTTATTTAATTGAGTTAGATACATTTTATCAGCACCGATTTCAAACAATCTTTCAGGCAGCGTGGGTGTGGTGGTGTAGGAGGAGACGGGTAAGCAGAGGGTGAGACGGTGCGGAGGGAGGGGGGGGTGAGACGAGGTGGGGCGTGGCTGGGCATCAGAGCTGCAGTCAGCAGTTCCAGCATCTGCTAGCGCGTAAGTACATTCTATTTCTACCAACCGCCCTGTCTGGATTTCCTCACCATCCATGTGATTCCAACCGCCATCCACCTCACCACAATCAGCACATTTATAAAAAAAGGTTGCCTTGCAGTACACTTTAAAATAAGTGTTACAGAGTGTGGATATCAATCAAGGACTGGGTAGAGATACTTACGAAGTTCATTGATAATACTAACCAATGTTTTTAAATTCAACCAACTTCACACTTTATATTTTTGTAAAATGAAAGTTCATTTACTTTCATTGGGATTTAAAATGACAGCTTAGTGATCATTCAAAATTTTGTTTGATGGCTGAGGAAAACAGGTCATTAATAAAGAATCCTAGGATGTTATGGGTCTCATGAAACTGGTTGGTTAAAGTTTTCCAAGATTTTAGCCGCTCAAAGATTTTAAATACATAATTATTCAGAGAAATGAAGGTCAGATGCCAGCAGCTATTTGCTCATTTTCTAGTTTCCTTTCCTTTCCTTTTGGTGGCGGCGATGGTGTAATGGTTAGCGTATAGGACTGTTTTACCCATGTTCGGGGGTTAAACCCAATCAAAGCAGTGGATTTTTAAGGGCGAGAATATCCTTCATATGCCTTCCTTTGGAGGGGAAGTAAAGCGAGCTGTCCCATGTTAGTAGATATACTGCATGTTAAAGATTCTCAAGCCTAAATGGCGCCTCTGAGCTAAATTCAAATTGCCTGGTTCATCGCCCAAGAAGTACGTCCTTTTTACCACTAGTTGGTGAAAGGAGTGTACTGAAATTTGTGTGGTCAGACGGACGAGCGGGTCTGTTGACCTGAGTCTCGCCACAGGAAATATGGCATCGATTCAATTTTGTAGAAAACTCTTTGATAGCAGAACATCTTTCCTACTTCATCTTGCAACACAATCTTAAATTCTGAACCATACAGACAGATGAACAGCCATATAGAGAACCCCTGCAGTATTATATAACTTTTTCTTACATCTAAGTTATTGTCTACAATGCATACAATGCTGTTATAAATATACAGTAATCAATTTACTGCCCTAGGTGGTACTTTAAGCTAAAGAAAAATTAGTAATACTTAATTTCTTTAACTACATTACAGATCATTTTTGTGCATTTTAAAACTGCAATGTTTCACTCCCCAAAACTGTCACAAGTAGGGAAAAATTGACTAATTTTCACCAACAATTACTGTTGAATAAAGTTTTTTATTAACTTTCAATAAATTTTCAGAGAGATTTCAGTTGAACTCATTCAGTATTGGGAAAAAGAAATAAGGTTACAAAAATGAGGCATCTTACCTTGCTTGTGTCTCCTGAATAAACTGTTCCAACTCCGAGGTATAAGGTTTTTCCATGAAAGTCACACCATTAAGATTTGCACTTTCCGAATTCCTTCTCAAACATCCATGGATAAGATGTGTTAGCACAACTGATTCAGGATCTCCATTGAAAACAACACACATCTCAGCTGGCCTTCAAAATTGTAAAGTCATTAACCCCCAAAAAGATATTCAATTCAATACACGAAAATAGTATACAAAACTTCAGTATTACAGGTAAGATGATAATTAAATGTTAATTAAAGACTCCTAACTACAATGACTTGGTTTGTGATGGCTTTATAGTAACTTTTAGAAAAGGACAAGAATTATGAAGCTATATTTAGTACTTTCTCCTTAAAATTTTTTTCTATATAAAATATTTAAACTGTCCTTATAAATTGTTGTAACTATTTAACTAGTAACAGCACTTATAAATATCATCCTTCTATGTTTAAAAGAAGATATCCTTCCAAAACTGTATGAATTCCCCACCATTAGGATAAACATAATCTATTCCCGAATTGCAAACACAGTATTTTCGTTGTAATAAAATACTAATATCATACCATACCATATTATTATTATTATTATGAAATCACACAAATACCATGTATTGTTTTGCTGACATCGCACAATGTTTTATGTATCTGAAAATGAGTAACCCACAAAAATAAAAAAAAAGGAGTGTGAATAGAAGTGTTTTACACATGTGAAACTGTACTGCTTTCAATTTTATTAAACCTTGAGTTTGACGATTTCATTCAGGGAAAATCTCATGTATGGTTTAGGTACTAGTGTTGTTTACTGACCGATGGACTCATAACCACACATTTTTGGCAAAAGGGACCCCAATAAATTGAATTTCCATCAACATCTTGACAACTGCTCATGAATGCAGTTAGTTTGAGCTTTCTACTGAACCAGATTTCGTGATTTTTTTTTCTGTAAATGAATGGTAGTGGGCCGTAGATTATAATTTCATCTTTTGAACTGGTTTTATAGTAAAAACACAAAATTATAATAATATATTGAAATTAATAGATTGAATGCTTATCTGCCATCTTTTGTTCATAACATTGTTTTAAAGACCAACTCAACACAATTGTAGTTGGTTTTGGTAACATATACTTGCAGCACAAGGGTATAATTGGCAAAGCAAAGACGGCAAGTTTTTAAATACAATGGTTGTCTGTTTTTAAATGCAAAAACTAACAAGTATAAATACAAACAATGTTCGGCAATCATCTGATACAGGTGTCCCTTAAAATGTTGTAAATTATAATCTATAACTTGGGATTTGAAGCATTAAGTTATGCTGAATATGAGGACTAGTTATGTTGAGCAGACTTTTACAGTTCTACAACACTTTTTCAGAAATATACTGTGTTCACAATGAATAGTGATTGTATTGTTGTAAACCTCTCTCATTTTATTAGTTTTGGAAAATGAGAATTAAAACAATTTTCCACTCAGTGACGTTGTACTTTTCTGCTGTAATGTTTCTACAGCTCTTGCTTGAGTGCAAATGTAATCACAGGAGTTCAGCTAGTATCTACTGAATATCTTATTAAAGTGGGTGAGACATCACAAACACGGTCCTACTTGTAAAAATCAAAATACTTTCTGAAGAAAAAGAAATTGTTAGTGGCAATTTTTCAAGTTCAATTACACAAACAATTGCAGAAACTTGGATTTATAAAAATGTTTGTTTACCTGTATATTTCACAGAACTGTTCTATGCTCTCCACAGCATTCTGAACATGATTTTTCTTCTTTTGCACTCCAAAATTCAAAATCTTTTCATAAGAATTCTGTGTTGGTGCTGTATCAAAATTTACAATGAATTCTAAAACAATTTTAAAAAATTATTAAACAATTGGCTGGAGAAGGGAACAGATTCTGTAACAACAAAAGTTAAAAATATGATATTTTTAATTCATCCATTAAGCCTCTGTTCTACAAGTAAAATTACAATTTATATTTATATCACTTCATAGGTCAAATGCAATCAAAGATGTAGTCTACATACACAGAATACTGCTAAATACCACTCATCAGACAATTTCTCAATTACTGAATTCAAAGTTTTGGTGGGAATTTAGCATTGCAAACTGAACTGAATGAAGCATTCTAAGCAGATTTCCATCACTAAATATTTCAAAAAGGGATATGAAGCAAGGGAGCAGGAAGGAGGAGGGACAATCACACACGTTGGCAACAAGTAGTGAATTCAGGGAAGAATCACATTCTACAAATCCACACACACATTTATAAAATCTTGAATGTAATTCCTACAAAATAAAACTAATAATCATATTTCCGTTTGATCCACTTAACACAATATTTTCTAAATACATAAATAAATTATTTTATTCAAGGAAAATAATTAAGATTACATTAAGAAGTCAATTTGTATGTGTGAAAATACAATTCTGAGACATTTAAACTGTTTCTATAGTAAGGAATATACGTGAGGGGTATGTCAATGGAAGGACATACCAATTGAAAAGAGGTTTCATTTCATCAAAAGAAGTTAGGTTGAACATGTTGAAGGAAGGTCATTAGTCCCATTAGTGCAGGGTAGCCCAACTGGTGGCCAGTGGTGCCAATTATTGTGGCCTGTGAAAGGTTATTAGTGAAAAATGAAAGTTCCCTGCATTCGTGTCATTGTGCGCCTGGCACATGCACCCTGCTGCCCTAGTGTTAAAAATCTGCAACTGTTGAGACTCAAACCCAAGGACCTCATGGTCAGAATAGCTGCAGAGTGAACAGGAACACTGGCTCTGAGCTAACTCTGCTGGTTAGAACAGAGTGAAACAGGAAAAATTACAGTTTTTTTGTCATGTAATGGTACTTACTGCTTCCACATTTATTCCTAACTTTTACCTTTATGAATAATAGGTAATGCTGTGTTTATTGACCTCTCACCACACAATCATTAACAAAATACGTGAATGTGATGGAATTACCTCTTGGAATCAGAGCTAAAAGATCATTGTATGCCTTCTCACATTCTTCTTTTCTCACTGATTGAATGGTTACATGAACTTTATAGAACCTGAAAAATACAAGACAATCAGAAATCCATTTAAAAAGTTATTTTAAATACCAGTCTCTCTATCTTCTGAAAACTACTTATCCTCACCTGTCAAACAACTTGGGATATGAGCCAAATGTCACAGAAGGATATTTTGAAACAACATGATTCAAATGTTCTGCAAAATCTACTTCAGTACAGCTCAAATACAAGTTTTTAACATGTATTCTTTCATTCCCTTCCTTAAATAATTCCTACAAAAACAGAACTTAAATTATAGAAAAATTCCTACTATTAATATCAGAATGCATTGCACAAAATCAAAAAAGATTCAATTAGAAATCTCCAAAGATTATAATCTACTATTCACACACTTATTCTCAATAAGTGTCTTGGCCCAGCACAGTTCACCCCATTCAGAGATTGTTCAACTACAAGGTTCTGAATGTGCCAAACTAAGCATCATTGAAAAATTAAGTATCAAGAAAAATTGCGTGGCTGGTATCATACAAAACATTTTTTTGGAATTTATATGTTTAGAAAATTCTTGAGACTTTGTTTAAGAAAACCTATAACAATGTATTAAATATATTTCACCACTCTCATACCTCTTGTACAGCCAAAAACAGCTTCTGCATCAAGATGGGAATTCCAGGAAAAATATATACATTATGCACTGATATGTTTGGATATAAAGTTCGTTTTCCAGTGCTTTGATCAATGCCATATAGTAATTTTGCTGATTCTGGAATCTTGCATGGAAATAATTAAATTAATAATTTTTTTTTATAAAGAATGCTAATTACCACAAGCATGTTAATAAAAAACACAGACAAAAAATTTCATTGTCTCAAAGACAGAAATTTTGGAATTTAAGGTTTCTTCTTAAATTGGGTAACAGAAGTTTTCTTTTTCTATTATTTGTGAAGGTAAGGGGAAAATTCTCAAATAGATAATAAAAATAGAAAGAAAATTTAGCTGCATAAATATATTTTTTTATTTTCTGCTTTTCTCATCAGTCTCTTTACCACTCTCTATACCACTCTCACTTCACCATTATAAATAACTTTTAAATAATGCCAGTTAAAAATTGGTATAAATGCATGTTCGTAAATAATATATTTTTTGTAAAAGAGCCAAAACGGTGTAAGCGAGTACCCACATCCTCTTCTACATTTTATACTATAAATACACAAATCAACAGTACACTTAATAATGAAAACTTTAAATGAGATCAGTTGTACAATTACCAAGAAAATAAGCATTAATAAAAAATACTTTTATATACACTAAAATAATAACTTGGGAATAGAAACACTAGTATAGTTAAAAAGTTTTTCAACAATTTGACATTTCCTTTAAAATACAATAAAACTTAATACCTGGGTAAGATCCTTACATGAGCTAATTTCATTGCGGGAGAATTGAGATCTTCAGTCTTAAAGAAATCTGCACACAATTTGACTAACTCTGGGTGTGGTTTAACTTCTTCCCCAAATGCTTTGGCGATAGCTGTCAATGAGTTATTTACTGTACATGATATTTGCTTATCACAAAAGTATCATTTAAATGATCAATATAAGGTTTGTTTTAGATAACAGTATAAACTATACCAGAAAATGTAACATCGTCATGGGTTGGTCCAATTCCACCAGTTGTAATTACATATGAGAAGTTCTTAGAAAATAACAGCACTTCTTTAGCAATTTCATCCTCTTCATCTCCAATCACAGATATCTATTTAAATAAAAGAAGTTAAGTTTAAAAAAACATCAGAAATATTTTATCCTGTCACTTTATTTGGACATACTAAAATATTTTGAATCATTTCTAAAGTATTAGTCTAGCAAACATTATTTCATGTTCTCACTCTTTTCACTTTGATGCCTCTATCAAACAAATGTCGAGCAATAAAGTGTGAGTTAGTGTCGGCAACCTGACCTTTCAAAATCTCTTCTCCTATCACTGAGAAAAAGCAAAATAGAACAATTATTACTTCAAGACAAATGAATTTTTCATAATTTTAATTTCCTTAAGTTCGCAGAAATAAGCAGATATACCTATAATTCCAGCAGAACTTTGTTTCCTCAAAAGCACAACAGAAGTAAGTGAAGCATTGCTGATGGAGGCACCATTTAAACAAAACGGGCCAATTTTCCGTAAGAATGCCATTATCAATACGTTAGATATTAGGTAATAGACTATTCAGTAACTTTATGGGATGATATCTGATGATGGAGAAATTAATAGTCATTAGTTCGGCCCAAATCCAGGTTTCTTTCAGCCAGACGTTGCACTTCATTATTCCTCGAGTTTTATTGCGTCAAACTGCATGCTTTTCACTATCCAAAAACTATTTGATACTTCAACTGAAATTCCATAACTCAACGAAAATTACCGAAAGTAATAAAAAAAGTACCACATCAAACAGTTTCGCATTTCCAGCACGAACCGGCTTTAAAAAAACAGTATAATATCTCTATTATCTCCAATTGCTTTCTAGTATTGGGATAGATTTAGGCCACGGAGACGAGCCCTAGACTCCTGATCCTAGCAACACCATAAGCCCAGAGCACATCACCTTGTCAGTGCTCATAGACAAGATAACGAAATAGCGACTCCTGCGGCTGCAGACCACAGCGTATTCGTTAGCCGCTTAACCAGCGCTTAACGCACTTAACCTAAAACAACTCTGGCCTAGCCCCCTTGCCCCAGCGGTTGTCATTAGAGTTGTTCCGAAATTATCTACAATCAAGAATACGTCTTTATATTGGAGAAATATTATTTCATGTCTTTAATCACACCATAAACTTCTCAATTACCTTAAAACGTAAGGACAATGCATACATAAAAGCGCGCGGCTTTTGAAATCCAGCATCCGTCTTCGTAATATCTTATTCGAACAAATTAGTTGGAAATTGTGTCTCGTTTTAAATTACTGTAAAGTTTTATCTCGTAGATAGCGACGAGAAAAATAAAGGGAATTGCATGCTAATGTACCAGTGGAGTATCGCCTCAACTGGCGGCCACGATTCCTCTATAAAAATATAAGCTCTCGACATGTAGTGTCATGCATGTAAATGTGAGTGTGTAAAGAAGGGGTGAGATTGAGGATAGGATAGGGCAGCTGGGACAACTTGCACCCAACCCCCACGTAAGTGGAGCCCTAAAAATTTATACAAAATGTAGCCTACTCATTCAGTACATTTTTTGAAAAAATATTTCACAGTAGTTGAAATATGACTCACTTTAAAATATATTATCGTTATCGTTATTATCGTTATCGTTATCGTTATCGTGGTTATCGTTATCGTTTAATCGTTATCGTTATATCGTTTATCGGTTATCGTTGTTATGCGTTATCTTGTTATCGTTATCGTTATCGTTGTTATCGTTATCGTTGTGTATCGTTATCGTTGTTATCGGTTATCGTTATCGTTGTGTATCGTGTTCGTTCGTCTGTGTTCGTCCGTTATCGTTTGTTGTTATCGTCGTTGTCGTTATCGTCGTTGTCGTATCGTCGTTGTCGTTATGTCGTCCGTTGTTCGTTATCGTCGTTGTCTTTTCGTTCGTCGTTGTCGTTCGTCGTTGTCGTTATCGTCGTTGTCGTTGTCGCTTATCGTCGTTGTCGTTATCGTCGTTGTCGTTATCGTCGGTTCGGTATCGTCGTATCGTTCTATCGTCCGTTGTGTTATGTCGGTTGTCCGGTTATACTCGTGTTGTCGTTATCGGTCGGTTGTCCTTATCGGTCGTTGTCGTTACGTCGTTGTCGTTAGTCGGGTTAATCGTCGTGTGTCGTCGTGCGTTATCGTCGTTGTCGTTAATCGTGCGTTGTCGTTATCGGTCCAACCGTACAGAATCGCTACTCAGTCGAAGGGTGTGTCGCTGTCTTTATAGGGTCGTCGGTCGTCGTCGGTAGGTCCGGTCGCGTCGTAGTCGTAAGTCGTTGTAGTCGTCGTCGTAGTCGGTAGTGTATCGTATGTTCGTAGTCGTCTCGTCGTCGTAAGTCCGTGGGTAAGTCTGGTAGTCGTAGTCTAGTAGTCGTGAAATTAAGGGTTTTTTTTTCGGGGTCGTCCCGTTTTTTTTTTTCGGGTTTTGCGCGGTCTTAGGGGTCGGGGGGTGTTTCGTCGTATATTGACGTAGTGTTACGTCCTAGTCGAGTGTAGCCGTAGTCGTAGTCGTCTCTCGTTGTTGTTTTGTTGTTGTTGTTGTTGTTATTATTATTATTATTAATTTAAAACATATTAATAATAATAAATAAGGGAAACATTTTTTTGGCAATTCGAGGCCTCCATGAACCTACTGCCTCAGCCCCCTGTTTTCTTTGGGCGCCCCTCGGAATTACTATGGCATTCTGAGATCTTAAGGTGATCTATTAACTCAAGTTAGAATTAGAAGTTGCAAGAAAGCCAGTGGCATAAGTTCCATAGAGGCTAATAGGACCATGACCAGGGGCGTTGATGATCCAGGGACCCCATGATACTTAAGTTCCCAAATTCAAAATGAAATAAGTCTTTTATCTGAAACTGAGTAAGAAAATTGAAGATCAATCAGCACAAGGGTTGCATTTTGATATTGTCGCGAACATAAAAGAATAAGTCATTGATTTATCGAAATGTAATGGTCAAGGGTATGATGGCACTGAAGTTATGAGTGGAATTTACAATAGAAAAGAAGTTTATGTGAAGAATTTACAATGGTACAGAAAAAAATTAGATGTTGACTATGCAGTTTGTAGTTTGTGCATTGTGCTGCTTACATTTTAAACCTTATGCTTATTGGTGCTGTGAACAGGACATTAGAATTTCCAAAATTGTATTGTGTGTTGGAACAAACTTTTTTTGTCATACCATTAATCGGTGGAACATTATCAACCATGATAGATTTAAATAAAAAGCGAAATAATCTTACATTAAAACAATTTTGTCCTACAAGAATTGTTTCACCAGTCAAATTTCAAAACTAAGATCTGTTAAAGATCTTACAAACATTAACAATTGTACATTGCTCATTTTCACAAGTTTTCCTGATGTTTGCACAGTATTGACACCATTTTGGACACTTCCGGTCCCAGCCACCAGCACCAAAAGAACATTTTCCAAATTAAAGGTGATTAAAAATATTTACGAAGTACAATGGCACAAACCATCTGAGTTATTTAAGTATTTTATCAATTAAGCACAACGAAACAATGTGATTGAAAATAATATTTCTAGTGTCATTAATAAATTTGTAAATCTGAAGAAAAAATAAAAAATTAAATTTTTCATTATATCATGAAATTGCAAAAATGATACTGTATTATCTGTAATAATTTATTGTAATAAATGTTTTAACTATTAAAGTTTAGTTTGTTATCACAAAATTATATTAATGACATGTATTTAACTAGGGGGCCCCCAATGTGTCACTCTAAGAGCCTCCTTTGATTTACACCACTGAAGAAAGCTCTGATAAAGTTGTTAATAAAACAGAATAGTAATGACAAATTTCATTCTGTTATATTATTAAATTTATTTGAAAAATATTTTTACATAAATTTCTATTATTATTTTGGCAGTGTCAGTTTAAAAGTTACTGCTGTATAGAGGGCCTTATAACATACAATGTATAATAGCTAAATGTATTTAAATACATGTAATTTGGATATTTGTTTCGTTATAATGATGGTCATGAGTCATAATCATATCACTTTTTTCTTGCATTAATGGCAAAGCAAATGGGAAGAATGATTCATGCTTTTAACTCCAATTGAATTCCTTAAATAATTTTTTAACTCTTTCAAATTAAATTTGATCTTTCTCTTGATGATTTACATAAGGGAATTGTTAGAAAAATCTTCAATAATATTTCAATATTCCATTAACAGCTCAATGTGTATGAAGACATATATCAACACCACTAGCACATGAGAAAATCTCTACATTAATTCCAATAGAGCCCTGGAAAGTGTATGCTGCTTGAAAGAATTGTTGCCAAATACAGGGTTAATGTTTTTGTAAAATCAGTGAATGTTGCAAAATTTAGGACCACAGGGCCCCATGTTTCTGCCCGTTTGGTCCACTTATAGTTAAACCTGCTATTGATGTTGAAATCTCTAATACTGCATAAGCTATGTTAATACGGCATACATGTTGCTCATTTAAATAAATAAACTGTAGAATAATGTAAATTTTGCATACAATGAATACAATACTAAAATAATAAATTCTCTCTCCAAATATTTTTAATTTACATGGTACAATATTGTCCAGCATTTAATATGTAAATAGTCATTGTAATCTGTGTGCATTGTTTTCACCATGAGTTCTATCTCTTGCTCAGTATTCAGAAGGTTTCAGCCCCCTCTCCCTCTTCACCTTCCCCTTCACCCTCCTCAGCTTTGTCAGCACGCGATATGGCCTTGAGTTCCTGCACACACATGCACACAAAGAGATGAGATGAGAAAGAGAAATACAGTTTTGGTCATAACTATCAGCACATAAATAACAAGTTTTACATATTAACTCCACACATCACCTCCTTTAAACAAATACTTAAAACTTGTAATAAAATATTTAAAATAAAATATTTGAAATAATTTTACAAATGCAATTATCAGTTAAGTCACAATTTATATTTGAGTCCAGTCAAATTTTGATTAATTTTGAGAACCAAAGAGTAAAACAATTTTCATTTATTTTCCTAAATAAATTATAGTTTAATATTAGTGTTTAAGTTTTCAATAAAAAAATATTAATTTTAATCAAGTTTACTGAATTGTATTTTATAGGCTTCACACATGTAACTTTTTGGCACAGAGCATCAATAAAATATTACTGTGTAAGTTGTTGTAATATTACTTCTGCCCTCTAGGATAGCTCATGGGCAGCATACCAGCTTCCCATGGTGTGATCCTGGGTTTCATACACATCAAGGCAAAAGTAGAGTCGTAATTTCCCTTTAAACTTATCTCAGTTTCTGTAGCTGTGTGATGAAGTACAGTTCAGACAGGTGGAGTTTGCTAGCTGCAGTGAAAGGAATATGTAATTTTTGCCTTATGTCTCTCTTATCCTAAAGTGTGTAAATTAACTAGGCCCAGGCATGGGGGTCCCTGTTAGCTAGCAGGCAAAGTTGGACAATCGACACACAATGTAAAGTACAAATAATGTTACTTCTGAATCTCCAGTATTGACAGAAAGTATTAGTATATAAAAATGTTAGGATTTAATGAATTTCATTGACAGTCTAATTTACAGTGATAACATTCTGTGCTAATTTGATGCAAGAAAAAAAAATTTACCTTCTGAATTTTACAAGAAAAAATAAATTTACCTTCTGAATTTTACAAAAAAAAAAAAAAAAAAAATTACCTTCTGAATTACTTGATAAAATTCTTTAGTTGCAGTTTCAGCAGGCTGCTTTTCAAAATCTGATAAATCAGCTTTTGAAGCTCTATCTTCAGGCTTTGCTGATTTTTGCTTCAATCTTATTTCTCTGATTCTAGCTTCTAAAATCTTCTCACGCCGACTCTCACGTTCAAACAACTGAAAATTATTGAGAATTAAGTTTCATGTTTTTCTCACAAGAAACATATTAAATTTAAGTGCATTTTCTGCTTACATTTGAAAGTTGCTGTTTTTCACTTTTCTGGCTTGTTGTCAAGTTCTCCGATAATTCTACAAGGTATGTTGTTCCTATGTGATTTCCAACAGCAATAAGTAGACCTTGATCATGTACTCGTAAACATCTCAACTGGAAATCACACACCTAACACCAAATAAAATAAATAAATAAATAACAAATATAAATATCACTCAATCATTCAGCCACAAGAGAAATTTAGAAAATTTTATATTTAGTACCTTAATACTTAGAGAAGGCTCTCTTTGTTCTTGAATAATATCCCAAACATCTAACATACCATCCATCCTTGTTGTATAGAATACAGAATGGCGTGTTGGACTCCAAGCTCCATCTGTGAGTAGTGCTCGATGAAAACTGAGGGTAATTTTTAAGAAAAAGCATTAGGTTAAAAATTCAGCAATCTTGCCATGATTAAAACATGAATCATGAATAATATCTTGCATACACAAATAAGTGTATTTTATACATACAAAATTTATTTGTCTTTTATATTAACAATATTGGCTTCTGTTTATCAAACTTCCACAATTCATTTTGTATTTTACTGTTATTTTTCCCCAAAACAAAAAAATATTAATTTTCTAAATATGATCTGAAACAGAAATAATTAAAAATCTCAGCATAACAGACCTTGTCCATATGATTGATGATTCTTTGCAATCTTCTGACCAAACACGAGCAGTCCAATCTCCAACTGTCAAGAAATTTTTTGAGTAGCCTGGGTTTCTTTGAAGAGCATACACTGGTCCTAAGTGAGCTTGGAATCTAGCTGTGATTTTTTCTGAAGGCAACTTTCCCTTTCGATTACAACCAACAACTAGTCCATTTTCAGTTCCCACCATAAATCGTGTAGGAATTGTTGGTTCGTATTCTAAACAAGAAGCACCAACTGCACGACTTATCACTTGTTCATCAACCTTCTCCATATCAAGAACAATCTCATCAGTAGGAGCAGCTAGCTTTCTTGTATCCCACCACTTCACCTAAACATAAATTGAACTCATGAAAATTATTTTCTTTCATCAAGTCATATTTGCTTGATTAAAGTTTTTACTAGCTCATATCATAAAAATATGAAACTTGTGAAGTTATTGTTAAGGCACTATCACAAATGTTATTTATGATTGTCAGGCAAATTCGAATGGAGACACTCATATTAAATTTCTAGCTTTAAAAGGAGGACGCACTTAAAAACAGAGACCTGATCTGATCTTAACATAGGTACTTTACAGTTCATAATTGCTTTCAATACCTGACCATCAAATGAAGAAGAGAAGAACTCAGTTCCTGATTTTGAATTAATCCACAACACATTGCGCACAGGGTCTCTATGACTTTCTTCAGACAGGCTCACATCCACAGGCAGTTCACCCCTCCGCACATCCCAGCAAGCCACTTGCCCACTAAACAGACCACTCACAAGTGTATTTTGATCTTTTGGGTTGTACTCTGTGCACACTTGTGGAACAGATGTCCTCAAAGACATTTGTGGTTTGTTAGAATTTTCTGAAGTAAAATAAAAAAAGCACAACCAATACTAAATTTTCTCATAAACACAACTTTATGAATCCAAAAGTTTTAAGAGTGGTATGTTAATTTCACTTTCCTATTCATCTAATCTTATTTATGGAAATACATTTTTTAAAGTAAGTTAAAGTAAAGCATCATTTTTGTAGGCTCGTATATGAAATTGTACTATGTCTGACAAACTTCAAACTTAAATATTTTCAATTGTCAACAAAAAATTGAATAAAAATATTAATACCTTCCATTCAAAATAACATTTACCACTTACCTACTTCCCAGATGTAAGATGTAGTACTAAGGTCAGGTGGTGATCGTTGAAACTCTAAATTACAATGTGTCACACAAATTCGTTGACCACCATCAGGAGACCAAGATATATGGGTAATTGGCCTCTTAATACTACAAATGTCACGGTACACACTAACAGTTTGGGCTGTAAAATGTTCCACTGGCATTGTGGCTTCTATATCACTGTAATATTCTTCATATATATTGACAGCATTATTTTGTAAAATACAGTGCTCCATAGCCTAAATAACAATTACACATTTATTATACTACATGAAAAATCGTTCCATAATATTTAAAAAAATATGAATTCTTCATTCAAATAAATGAAAGTAATATAAAAAAAATAATTATATTTAAATTTAGCTTACAAGTTGTAGTTGAAGCATGGTATGAATGTAATTTTCATCTTTCTCAACTTTTTTTCTGTATCTTGTTGTCTGTTCTATATCTAATGGATTGATGTCACGGGGCCAGCCTCCCTCATTATGGTTCATTCCACGATCAGTATATTCAGCTCTAGTAGTGTTTGCCTAGAAGAAATAATAATTATTTTTCCACATTATTTGTTTTCAGAAATCTTTGAGTTTTATTGTGCAACCCCTTTGCAGATTCTATATGAACTATGCAAATACTCATTATTTATAAATTTCCCATTCAAAGGAGCATCTGAAATTATCATTTTAATATTACATTGGCAAATAAAGAGAGCTGAAAGAAAATTCAATTCAAAAATATTACCTCATGTTCTGAAAGCATAACACCCATTTGTATACTTCTATCAACTGGATCTTTTAAGATATATTCTGCATTTATGGTTTTATCAGGTACTATATTTTCTACTAGTTTTGGACCTTCATCAGAAAACAGACATTGTCGACCAAAGTCAGATCTTTTCCTTGTATATACAAAAGTGCTCTCCATTATAACAGATTTGAATCAAAGTTGTAAATAACAAAAACAATATTCAATGTTTTACTCCTTTAATTATATCACTCTCCTTCTTCACTGTACTGTTTTCATGTCTTCGAATTAAATTGTGTATATAATAAAAGTGGTTATGCTGTTTGTACACATTTGTGTCAATACTCAAAATGTGTACTCCGGTTACCATAGTTACAAACATCATGAGCGCTTTCGAGAGAATCTTTAAACTCCTTACAATTGCTTTGACATCAGCGAAGTAAGATTGGTAAGATTCTTGGGGAAAGCAGCATGAATTCGTTCTGTTTGAGTACCAAGAAAGAAAATTGCCAATCTGAGTACAAGCTGTTTTCGTATCGTCATCAAGAAAGATGCGTTCGACCTCTGATTTCACAAAAACTCATCCCACACAACTAACAAATACCATTCTAGTATTTAGGTGTTGGATTCCACAATATTAGTCAATTACAATTCTTCAGAAACATGTTTGTTTTACTTTTGCACCCTTAGTTCGTAGGAAGAGAAAGTATTGTAAAATGTGCCGGATAACAATGAATTTTTTACTGAAAAACTAGACTGAGTCCTGGAGACAAAGAAGGGAATACATCTTGTTCCTATGAAGATTGTAAATTACTACCTTCAACACGTTATGTAATTGCAATTCATGTTTTGTGAGTCCCCGATAACGAAACATCGATTGACGGAAATACGTCTGACCGTGGTCCAGGCGTCTGAACCGTCCGGCTGAATTTCTCCGAATATATTCTCCGATCGATTTAAAGGAACTTGAGGCTTAAAACGGATATTTTGATTTTGGTGGGTACTTTTCATTGTCCCTCAAAACTATTTTTTCTCAAAAATGTTTTCTCAATTTTTTAATTAAACTTTGTCCTCGAATAGTGTAAAATGCATTTTAAAGGAAAGCACTGGAATCATTTTAGATGAAATATATTTTGAAAAAAGAAAAATAATTCGTTGAAAAAAGCAAAAGTTCATTTTTTTCGGCATCTTCCTACAACTATAATTTTGAAAATTTTTCCGAACGGTAATGAAATGTGTTATCTAAAGACATATCTTATAATCAAACAATTTTATGTGAAATATAGGCACATTTTAATCAATTATTTTCGCATTCGCGCGGATCCATTTTTCTTGTATCCTTGCTCCTTTCTTCATGTAAAGAACGGTAAAAAGGTTGCAATAATCATAGTTCGAAAATTGCATAACGGTAACTTTACAAAACTAAGAATTTTTTAAGATAAATATTTTTGTATTACACAAAATGTGTTGTAAAATATATATTTAAAAAAAGGTCATATTCAGTTTTTTGAAAACACGAGTAGTTTTCGCGCAATTTCTGCTGGAAGTTAATGCAAATTATATAAAAACACATTTTCTCAAAAACCGCTTCAATTTTTTTCTACGGATAGAACAAGAAACACTTAGAAGAATGGTGCAAGTCTCAGTTTCGTTGAATTTTCGAAAATTGTAAATTTAGAAATAACATCAAAAAAAGGTGCTGTTGTAGCACCACTTATTTACTTTCTCGCCTTGCTTCGAAAGAAAAAGTATTGTTATCGTGTCCCGAAAAACGGCGATTTCTTGACAGAGAAACTCTTAGTGCCGTGTCCTAGTTACGAACAAGTGAGTAAATCTTGTTCCATTGTTGCTCACGTACTGTAGGTGTATGGCGTGGCGGAGCACATGCGGTACGCTGGTATAGCCAGTCGTTGTTGGCCTCTCGATGCTCACCTTTCAGTTTGCAACGAGGATATATTCCCCCACCCCTAGGGCTATCTTGGTGGCATGCGCCTATCCATGGTGAACGCTCACTTTTATGTATATGAAAGGGTGGAAGGCGCATTTTAGATTCCATGAACTGGGCGACAGACACGCGGCAGCAGTGCCTATATCACAGACCCGACACCACCCTTCAACAGCGAAAAGCGCTTATGAGGAGCTGTCGCTGTGCTACAGGGGCAGGCAATAGGTACTGCGCGACTGGTGCCGGTGGGGGCTCCAGGGGAACGGGACTTTGCAATAAAACCATACTTCCTCCCTCCTCCTAACCAAACCATGATTTTTTCCTACTTACCCACCCAAAAGGCGATCACCTACAGAGAACAGTCATAAACCCCTTCTGTTCCCCCTCCCCCTACAACAATATCTGCACCAAACCCAACCCGAAACCCACTACCAACCACCCTCCCCATAGTGCAACATACTAGCATCACCACAACCCATCCACACTAGAAGCCCTGATCCCGCCCACATCTGCTTCTACCTACATCCCTCTATCCACCAGCATTGTCTCCAGTCATACAAACCATACAAAATAGAATGCCCCACCGAGAAAGGGCAAGAGCAAGCCAAAATTAAAGCCCGCCCCCACATCCACATTAAAGCCGCAACTCCTTCTCGGTTGTCACTTGTGGAAAAACTACTAGTGACGGAGTGTGCGGAGGGGGGAATCAAGTACAACGCTCGTGGTGCAGTGATGTACATACAGAACCAAAAGAGGGACGACAAAGCATTAGATTGGGATGTGGTCATTCCTCCCTCTTCCATTGCTGCCTCTGCCCTCTCATCACAGGCGTCAAACGAGGCTGGAAATCTCGTTTCGGAATCTCGCCCTCTTGGCCCCTCCTTGCCTGCGCCGAAGAAACAATGGACGTTAACCACGGCACGGTAGCTGAAACGGATCTGAGACGGGAGAAGTGTCTCGTGGAAAAAGCGGCGAAAGCTACTGCCAGCCCGTCCGTCACTTTGAGGCCGAACACTACGCCCTTGCTGGGCTCGACGAGGTCCACCCAATGTCTGTAAATCCAATCTCACCGTAGCTAGCTGACCTTTATGAGGCGGTCGCGGAGCTTCTAGCTTGGGTGTGTGCAGATTCAGTGTTTCCCATATCTGAAGGACGTGGTGATGTATCCCAAAATCCTGCAGGAGATGTGGAGTATGGTGTATCCAGTCCCCTCGCGCTTGGATGAGGCAGTACCAGGCCTGAAAGGGCCTACAAATACGCAGATCCATGTAGGCTTCTATTAGGCGGGATGCCGCGCAGGCGACCGCAGCTGGCGGCAACCTACACAGCGCTTCTGTCGGGCGGGCTGCAATCCCCGCGCCTCGGCAGGCGCTAACACAACACGCGCCGCGCGGACCAAACGGAACCAGAGAGGGACGACGTGCGCTGTGCGAATGTGCGCTGTGAGATGGGGAGTAGTCGAGGACGCGGCTGGCGACGAGATGCAGGGTGAGGAACGGGCGGCAAGTTCCCCCCGAGGCAGGCGGGCAATGTCAGCCTCCCGCTGACCAGCGTCTCCGTCCAAGGTGCGACCTCCCCCAATTGGTGTCCTATAACTCTCACGCCTACACTTTATAAGTTGCATGCGGGTGTATTGGCGGACCGCCTAATCAGATGGACAGAGGGTTATGGTATCTGATCTGCAATGCAGACCTTTTGATGGCATATTGGGGCAGAACTACCTTCTTGGTTTAAGAGTTCCATCTCGCCCGTATCGATCGGCAGAACCTGAGCCTGGACCTCAAAGAACCTGGCCAACGTTTTCGAATTTGACCCGCATGCTGCCATGAGATCCGTTCCATGGACTTATGGCGGATATTTTGCAGCGATACGAGCACTCAGGATCCAGGAGGGCCTAACAGCTGTGGGTCCCCACAGCTGTCACCTGCGGGACACGCCAGGGATGCCTTCTGTCGGGATTATTATGTACTCTCGTCATTGACGCGGCCCTGCGTGCCCTTGAGGACAAAGAGCCAATGGGAACGCGTCGGTGCTTACATATGCGGATGAACTGACGCTGCTCGCCACGACACCGCTACCGACCCGGCTTAACGCGGCGGGAGAAGTCCTGCAGCGGCCACGCCTCAGGAGAGAAAGGCAAGAACAAAGAAAAAAAGAAAGCACAAATGTCCTACTTTGGTGATTCAGACGTCATGGCGCGTCCTGGCGACACTTCACACAGGAGGGGTGGGCTTGCCTTATGGCGGCTCCACACATTACTTATTCGGCGAGTAGCGAGCGGCCGTTCGCCGAATCCCGTGTAGTGTGGATGGGACGCTTGCTATTTGCCGAGAGACGAACATTCGGTGCTTGCCCTATCCGCGTGTCGGTCTCTGACACATGAAAGGGAGCGAACATTCGCCAAATACATCAGCTGTTGGGGATTGGGCGACCAGTAGCTCGGTGCTCGGCGAATGCCGAATGTGTGGAGCTGCCTATAGCTTGAACTAGGTGACCGGTGCCTGGGGTGACTTGTGAGCTTCAACCTAGAAACGGCTCAAAGAGTAAGAGGTTCTCGTGAATATTTCCTCGTCAGCCCTACTGACCTGGCAGAAGACGAGTGCATTCGAGCAGTTTGTCCAACCGGCGTCCGTTTTTCCCCTGCGCGTGGATAGGTACGAGTAGCGGATGCTGGCTGATGACGCGGGCTTAAGTATTCGAGTTCCTTTCTCTTCCCGTTGAGGCAACGGATGCGCTCATTTATGAATCAAAGGATGATGGTGCAGGAATTTAGGCACTAGGTTCTGATTGTGATATTTGGAGCGTAGATTCGGCCTACAAAGTCATACCTTTCCGTGATGCCCAGCTGCGCAACACTACGCGTGCGAATCTCATCCACGAGGCCTCGTATGTGCAGATGGTTGCATCCACGAAGGGGCGCGTGTGTGAGTACCTGATGGCTACTCCAGTGAAGAGGAATAAAGGTCCATTCACAATGCAAACATAAACATAAGCGTGGCATTAACATAAAAGTTAGGACTACGTCCAAAAGCGGACTCATTCACAATGCGTTCTCATAAGCATAACACGTCAACTTAAAAGCCTGCAAGCTTTTGTGCTTATGCTTAAGGCATAAGAAATGAACCAATCACAGAACGGTAACTCAAAATCCAGAATCGAAATTGGAGCGAAGTCGATAGAACTAGCGCCATATTGGCTATGGTCACAGTCGATACCTTGAAATCGA